TGAAGAGGAAGAAGAAGAAAAAGCTGTTGCATCGACTCCGTCGTTTTAAACGTTCGCCAATTATGGCGCGAATTGGCCGGGCAGTCGCTCGAACGTCCACTGGGCCAGCGGTGCTCTGCGGGTTTCAGGCCGTCGGCGCATCGGGCGCGACGTTAAAGTCCACGGTGCAACTGGCGACTGGCGTGCGATGGCTGGCGAAAAACTCTCACGGGCACTTCCGCATGGGTTGCGCCCCAATTAGAAAGGCGGCGTGATCGACATCCAGAAGTCTTCGCTGTGGCAGAACCTCTGTGGGCTGAGATGGTTTCGGATCCTGCGATCCCGCTCGACGTCGTGCGTCTAGCCTCCGACCAGCAGCGCAGCGAGTTGGAGATCCTGCCCAGATTGCCAGATCCAGCAGGAGCACTGCGGAGTGCCCAGCAGCAGTTTCGATGGGGAGCGCGCTCGCCTCGCCCTCTCTGAGGTCGACTGCGTCAGGCATTGAGTGGGATCTCACCGCGGCCTCCCCCATCAGGTTCGCGCGCTGGCCATGCGAGCTTTCGACGGCGCGAGGTGGGAGGAGTGGGCCGCGCGCGTGGATCGCGCACCTGAGCTTGATGCGCCTCGACGCGCCCCGTGTGCTTACTGGTTGGAACCGTCGCAGTTGCTCCTGGCCCCTCGCGAGCAAGCTCGACGCGGGAAGTTGCGCCTGTTAGTGCGAGGGCGGCCATGCGCGACGCCGTCGCTGGAGGATGATGGTCGCAGGCGAGGCTCTACCAGTTTGGCTACGCGAGCCAGCGCACGCGTTTTCATTGCGTTCAACTGCAACCTGCTTCCATGGACGCACGGCCTCCGCAGGGCAGACCCGAGGATGCTCTTGAACGGCCTCTCTTTCTTTGCTCTTGATGCGTACATGTATATACATATATACATATATATACGCATACAAACATAAATGCATGCACATCTATATATATATATAGAATTTCCCTTCGCCTACAGCCTTCGCGTAGCAGGGCCGAGGGTGCGCTTGGACGGCGTTTCGTGCCTCGCCTGACGCCTCCGCAGGGCAGTGCCGAGGATACACTTGAAAGGCGTTTTGCTCCTAACATGCAGCCCCCGCAATTCCCGACGCGAGCAGCAGCGACTTCCTCCGCGCCTTCAGCGCCGCCGATGACTGGGGGCATGATGGGCGATGGAATGAAGGTCCGCGGCGCTTTGCATCATCGGTTCCGGGTCTGCCTGGACCTCGAAGAAGAGCGTGTCCTGGAAGTCGACCGAGACATCGTCGATGAGTCTCGCATCGCGGATCCAAACGACATGCTCTACGCGCGCGCCCTCGCGCCGCGCGGTCGCGTCCGCTTCGTCGCTTATTCTTGCCGTTCGCCGTCGCCAGCGGATCGCGGGCGAGATCTACGCATGCGGCGCTGGACGTACTCGCACCGGATGGCCAGAGGGAGCACGCGCAGGTTGGGGCCTTGCCTTGATGCGGTGCCAACGACTCCGAGGTTTAGGATTTGGACCGTTACCAGATGCTCAGCAGTCAGTGCCCCGTGCCGAGATGCACGCGGCGATCATGACATTGAAGAATGGACTGCCGCCAATCCCACCGGCTGCGCGTTGGCCATCGACGCGCTGAACAAAGGCAAGCAGCGGTGTCTACATCGGCGCCGCCCGAATGTGGACCTCTGGCGAGCAGGTTGGAGGCTCGTCGATGACCGTGGCGGCCTGAGCGACGGCCTGGCCCTCGCCTGCGTCCAGTCACATCAGACTCGGGAAGATAGTCGGCACCACCACGGCAACGAAGGAAGCGATTGCGCAGATGTGGCGGCCAAGAGAGGGTTGGCAGTTCATGGCGCCCCCCAGCAGCGCATCACCAGCACAGGCGCCTCTTGGAAATAATGCGTCAGATTGCGTCCTGGATTGGCATCGCTCAGGAGCTGCTCGAGACCCGGCCTGATCGAGTTCTACCAGTGGAGCGGAAAGCGCGACGAACCCAGAAAAGAGTTCGAGAGTTTTGCCGAGCCCGTCGTTCCGCTGCGCGCTCTGCTGCTCCACCTCTTGTGCAACCAGGGCGCCAGCAGCATCGTGTGATTGAGCGCGCCTCGAGCAGATGGAAATGCGTCAATTGTCCGCGCTTCGCGCGAGACTCCAAGGGCAAAAACCTTATGCGTAGGCAGATGTGTTCGGTCAGGCCCAACATCGAGACCCCGCGTACCCCGCCAACCCTCACGGTGCTTGCTGAGCCACCGCTGAGCCCTAAGAGCTAACGGATCAAAAAGTCTGCGGAAGATGAGCGTGACCAGGCCAGGACCCGCCGACCCAGGGCGGAACCCGATTCTTCTCCCTCCTCGGACCCTCTCTCTGAGCCTCCTTCTCCTCCTCCTCCTGCTCCTCCTCCTCCTCCTTTTCCTCCTCCTCCTCCTCCTCCTCCTCCTACTCCTATTCCTACTCCTACTCCTACTCCTATCCCTCCTCCAAGAATCCTGGCCAGGCCCCTGGAGGAGCTGGCGGAGCCTTTTCTCAGGCGGGTGCACCCTCGGGTCAGGTTCGAAGCCGGGTCGCATGGGGTCGTGCGTGCGGCTGCCGCGGCGGTCGCGCCTGTGGCTGGTGGCTCGGGGAAGCGCCCTCGGCTCATGGTCCCAGGGGAGGCCGCGAGCAGCTCTCCCAGCATGGTGCCTCCTGCCTTGCTCGAGGGGGCTCGTCCCGACCTCGTCCGTGCGGCCGGTGCCGTTGTGGCGGCTCTCGGTGTTGGCTCGGAGAAGCGCTCCCGTTTCGGAACCCCCTCGCGGGCTTCGGGCGTCCCTCCCAGCATAATGCCCCTTGCCGAGGGGGTCGCGCCGCCCGAGGCCGCCAGGGTCATATTTTGGATAGGGCTGGAGAAACAATTGGATGCATGAAGTGTGGGTCTTTGTCGAAGCGAGCTGCAAAGTCGGAATTCTTCAGCCAGTGCGACCCCACCTGTCTCACATATAACCATCAGCGTCGGTGGCGCCGAGATAATTTCGCTTCGGGCCGCCACCCTGCGGAGGGCAGGTGGCATCCCATCCCGCTCTCTCGTTGCCTGCTTGTGTCGGACCCAGCGGTGGAGTGGTCGGGCCTTCATCAGATTGAACACGTACTTTAACTTGTTCGTGTTTTACCCGTGCTTTGCGTCTCTGGGTGTTTGATCGGTTTCGGCACTGCACGTGCGTCCCAGGCCCTGTGTTTCTCGCTCCCGCCCAGGTTTCTGGCCAGGTCGTGAGGGTATGCCTGGTAGCCGTGATGATTTGCTGAGCTATCGCAAGCTCTGCCCTCCATGTTCTGTGATCGATTGTGCGTTCTAACCTTTTCCTGCTGCTCCCATCCGTCCCTCGTCCCGACTCGGCGCGTCGCTTCATGTGCTCGCTGATCCTCCTCCTCTTCCGTCTCCTCCTCCTCCTCCTCTTTCCTCCTCCTCTTTCCTCCTTCTCCTCCTCCTCTTCCTCCTGCTCCTCCTCCTCGTCCTCCTCTCTTCCTTCTCGATCGCCAGTCGCAGCCCTCTCCTGGCCACCCGCCCTGCATCCTGAGGGGGCCTCGGGGGCCCCCCAGGCGGTACGGTAGCCGCACCGTGTGGTGAGTCAACGGGGATTCGGGGTGACCGCCCGGTTTTCTGGGACTTGGGTTGCTCTCCGAGGGTGCCGTTCGGGCGACGGCAGCGTCCTCCTCCTGATTCTCCTCCTTCTCCTTCTTCTCCTTTTCCTCCTCCTCCTCCTCCTCCTCCCCCTCCTCCTCTCCCTCCTCGTCATCATAAACATCATCAGCATCAGCATCCCTTTCATCCTCCTCCTCCTCCTCCTCCCTTTCGTCTTCCTCATCATCATCATCATCAGCATCATCATAATCATCATTATGATCATCATCATCCTCCTCTTCCTCCTCCTCCGCCTCTTCTCTTCCTCCTCTTGCTGGTCGTCCTCCTCCTCCTCCTCCTCCCGCCCTGTGGGGACAGGCATTTTCCTTTTCAGCGGCCCACAGATGGTCGCGGGTAAGTTGTTGCACGGCTCCCACAAGCTTCAGTTCTGGGGGCTGTACGGCCTTCCGTTTTGTTCGGTGTGTGGCAAGTCGGCCACCGCGGACCCACGTTGGCTCGTTGGACGGTGCACGCCTTCCCCGAAAGGTTCCCATAATCTCGCGAGAATTCATAGGGGCCTTTACCCTAACGTGAGCGGCCCACCCAAGCATGTGGTGGAGGCCGAGCTCTCCAGACTTGCCGATTCATCCGTTCTGGCTTTCGGCATGACTCCCGTTGTCATCCATGCTGTAATTCTCCCTGAAATTCTCCTCCTCCTCCTCCTCCTCCGTGGTCCCAAGCCTGTGCGGCGACGGGCCGTGCGGGGATGGATCTCTGCGAACCTCACGGGCGGTGGCTATGGATTGATTCGTGCCGCGAGGGGGCCAATATACGTGAATGTATATGCATATCCGTGTTTGTATGTGCATGTGTATGTGCATGTGTAAACAGGTATATGGTTATGTATACGTAGCTGTAACTGTAAATGTATGTGTAAGTGTATATGTATATGTAGAGGTATAGGTATATGTATATGCATATACATCGGTATTTGCCTAGAGTTAGGTATATGCACGTGTCTAGGAATAGGTACGTGTATGCACGTGTATATACATACGTATATGCATATGTATATTCATATGTATACGTATATGCGTATGAAGATAGTATACATATAGGTGCATGCACCTATGTACTTGTGTGTGTACACGTGCATTCACATGTATATACATACCTATGTGTATATGTATAGGTACATGCATGTGTATCTGTTCATGCATATGTACAAGTGTATGTGTATACCTATGCATATGTGTTTGCATATGTATATGTATGTGTGCATGCATGCAATTATTTACAGATCTACATATTCATATCCACCGCCCGTTGGGGCCCCAGGACGTCGGTCCCCGGGCGGTGGACATGGAGAAATCCCTGCCCCGCAAAAAGAGGCCTCGACGGCTCTTGGGCGACCCGCCCCACCCCGGAGGCACGCTGGAGAGGGGCCACTCGAGCTGCCTGGCCGCGGCATCGCAGGAGCGGCCGGCGCAGAGAGCTCGCCGCTCCCTCCCCCCCCTCTCCCCCCGAGGCTGCGCCTGCAGCGCCTCCTTCCTGCCCTCCGCCGCCCTTCCCTTTTGCCGCCGCTGCTGGATTCGCCTGTGAAAATGGGCGGGGGGGTTGCTGAGGGGACAAGGGGGTTATCCGTGGACGCCAACGGGGTCATATCTGGCCTAACCTTCAGAGGAGGCAAAGGTACTGATACCGCTACCCTTGCTTCGTGTTCCCCTTTCTCGGCCTCCTGGGACGCCCTCGTCGCCACCAGTGGATTCGCCTCGAAATCCTGGTCGGAACGCACCCCGGGAGAGCTCCAGGGAGTAGCGGTATCGGTACTTTTCGGCTTCCCTTAACCTAGCTAATAAGTGGGTTGCACATGCCCCAAGAGGCTTAGCCCACTTGGCCTGGATCGCTATCCCCCCTACGTAGCCATTTTGGGCATCAGCAACCCACTAATGAGCTAGTTCCGGCCACATATAACCCACCTTTGTCGCCACGGCTAGACCGAGCGCGTTCCACTACTCGCAAAGTGCCTACTCGCAAACGTCCGAAAACAAACATATGTCTTCCTCTTTGGAATAGATCGCAAATTCCCCGCGGCGGGTCCAGGCCATTTGCGAGTAGTTACTTTGCGAGTAGTGGAACGCGCTTGTCCAAGATAGGCCCTGGCCGGAGCGCTCCTCTGGAGAGGCTGGGGAGTGGCGGTGTCGGTGTCTCTTTTTTCCCCCCCCCAAGTCTCTCCATACCGCGTGCTCCTCCGTCTCCCATTTTCCTTCCCTTTCCCCAGACCCCCGACGTAGCCTGGACCCCTTCCCGGGGACCGGTCTTTCATTCTGAGCTGTTTTTCACGGTCCCGAGGCTTAGCGAGGGCCCGTGGGGGCCAAACTCGTGAAAAATTTCCCGTCGTGATCTTTTCACATCGCGAGGAGGTCTGGGCTCCGCCTCCCATTTTCCTTCCCTCTCCGTCCCTCTCCCTCCCCTCTCTCCTCGCTGCCTCCCTCTCTCCTCCCCCTTCCTCGCTCTCCTGCCCCCTCCCATTCTTCCGCCATGCTCCCCCCCCGTGCCGCCCCTCCCGTCCTCCGTCCCTCTGGTCGGGTCGGGCAGGCGGACGCGCAGACCCTCGAGGGTTGCGACGTCCACGTCGTCTCCTTCAGAGACTAACGCCATACGCACAAACTTCGGCCCTCCTCGCGGATTTCTTGGATCTGCGCTGGGACCCCCCTGGCGGCGCCTCGCAGATCCAAGAAACCCGCGCGGAGCGCCAAAAGTTTGTTACGTTCATGCCGTTTCTTCTTCTTTTTCTTTTTCTTCTTCTTCTTTTTCTTTTTCTTCTTCTTCTATTCAGAGACGCGGCATCCCGCCCACCGCCTCGACGGATGTAGCGCGCGCTTGGAAACCCGCACTGGTGGCGCCGACCAAGCCCGCGAGTGTCGCCCAGAAGCCCCGCCGTGATAGCAACAGCACCGGCGGCTGGGCCGCGTATGCGGCGCACGGGCGGCGTGTGCGTCGCCGCCCCACGGCGCCCTCGGCATCACCGCGCGTCGTGCCCTGCCTGGGGTAACCCGCCCTGCTTCGTCAGCTTGGGCGCCGAGATGGGGCTTCGTTCGCGTCGAGTCCCACGCGTGTTGGTCGGATCTTCTCCTCCTCCTCCTCTTCTTCCTCCTCCTCCTCCTCCTCCTCCTCTGCCTCCTCCTCTGCCTCCTCCCCCTCCCAGTTCTTGGGTCGCCTTGCCCACGGAGGTCAGGCCAGTGCGGCGGCCAGGTCGGCCGCCGAGCACGCGGCCACGTACAAGGACGCAGCCCTGACCAGGATCGGCGACCCCCGACGAAGCCACCCGTCGCAGCGACTGCGTGCTGCGCAGCTCCACTGCGCGGCAGTTCGCCGCGCGCGGCCAGGGCTACCTGGGAGCGCCCGAAAGCGTCCAGAGATCGATGAACATTATGACGATCATGCTGATGCTCATGATGATGATGATGCTGATGATGATGTTGGTGATGATGATGATGATGCTGATATTGATGATGGTGATGATGCTGATGCTGATGCTGATGCTGATGCTGATGCTGATGCTGATGCTGATGCTGCTGATGCTCATGCTGATGCTCATGCTGATGCTGATGCTGATGCTGCTGCTGATGATGATGATGATGAGGATGATGATGATGACGATGCAGATGCTGATGCTGATGCTGATGCTGATGATGATGATGCTGATGCTGCTGATGATGATGATGATGAGGATGATGATGCAGATGCTGCTGCTGCTGATGATGATGACGAATTTGGTGGTGGTGGTTGAAGATGATGATGATGATGCTGATGATGATGATGCTGATGATGATGATGCTGATGCTGATGATGATGCTGATGCTGATGCTGCTGCTGCTGCTGCTGCTGATGATGATGATGATGATGATGATGATGATACTGATGATGATACCGATGATGATGATGATGACGATGATGATGATGATGATGATGATGATCATGATCATGATGATGATGATGATGATGATGATGATGATGATGATGTTGATGATGATGATGATGATGAGGAGGAGGAGGAGGAGGAGGAAGCGGAGGACTGCGGAGCTGTCGCGGGAACTCTGGGCCAAGCGGCACACTGGGCTTCCGGTCGCGCCCGAACTGGACAGGGCCCCGCGCGCTGCCCGCAGGCTGGCGCTCCCCGTGGCCTTCCGCTCCCCCGGGGAAAGGCGGCGCGACCTCGGGGGCGTCACTGAGCAGCCGGGGCCGCCTGCGGTGCGACTCGATGCGAGTCGGTGCGACTCGATTCGCCGGCTGCGGCCGCGATTCTCATTCGATATCCGATGGGGTCCGAGGCATTGGCCTCGGCCGGCGCACTGGGTCCGATGCACCGGCCTCGCCAGCCGGAGCTGGGCGCGGCTACTCTCCGTCGCGGATTTGGACTCGCTTCGGGAGGATTCTCGCTGGCGATCCGAGTCGTTTTTCCGACCCGATCCGACTTCGCGACTTTTGGCTCAGCTCGGGCCCAGCAGCGCTCGCTGCCGAGGCTCGCCCGCGGGACTGCGCGGGCCGCCTCTGGGCGGCATATTGGGCCGCTTAACCTGCGGCAGCCTCGGCACTTCTTGGGGCCGAGGCTCGCTTGGGCCCGAAGCGTTTTTCTTTGTTCGCCTCCCCCTCTGGCGGTCCTCGCGGCAGCACGCTGGCTGTGTACCACTGCGCTACACGGCAGAGCGGGGTTCTCTGAAGGCAGCGATGAAGTCTGGCCTTTCCCTTTTCAGGAGGAGTATTCGAAAATAATTGAAAAAATTGTATCGGGACAATGTTTGTTTTTTGTGTGTTACAAAAAAAGAATATGTTTGAATATGTTTGTCTATTTTAATTCTTCGTCCAAGATCCGCCAGTAGGGGGACATGCCCGACCTAAGGCAGCGAGGGGGTGGGCCAGACCGCCGGGCGGGGGGGAGGAGCGCGCACCACGGCGCCAGGCCGGCGGGCCTCTCCCCGCCCCTCCCGCCGTTTCCCGTCCTGCCCCGGCCGCTCCGCCCGGTCCCGTCCCGTTTCTCGCCCCCCCCTCCCCTCCCTCGCGCGTGCCCCCCCCCCCCCCCCCCCTTTCTCCCTTCCCCTCCCCCCCTCCCCCCTTCGTGCCCCGCCTCGCTCCCCTCCCCGCCCTCTCCCTCTCGCCGCCCCTCTCCCGTTTCGGCGGCATCTCTGCCTCTCCTCTCCCCTTCCCGCCTCCGCGTGATCCCTTCCTCCGCCTTCCCCCCTCTCTTCTCGCTGCGGCGCTCCGCCTCCCTCGCCTCTTCTCCTCCCCTCCGCCCGTCCCGTTGCGCTCCTTTTCCCCCGCCTGCAGCGAACCGGTATACATGCTTACTACTCCCTTTTTCTCCCCGGATCCTGTCCGATCGGGTCCCGTTTTCCCCCGCGCATGTTTTCCCCAACCATCCTGAGTGGTGTTGGGTCTTCGTTTTGAAGAGACGGTTCCCGCGTTCTCCTCTTCTCCTCTTCTCTTCTACTCCTCCTCCCCCCCCCCTCCCTCCTCCCGTCACCTCCCTGAATTTGGCACACCCCTCACGTTTCGTGGCCCCATAGGGAGCTCCACCGAAGGCCCTAGGGGGGGTGCCCGCACGCAGTCCCCCACACCCATTTCGGCACACCCCTAACACGCTTCGCGGCCCCATAGGGAGCTCCACTGAAGGACCCAGTGCCACTGTCCACCTGCGTCCCCCCCCCCCCACACACACATTTCGGCACACCCCTCACACGTTCCGTGGCCACATAGGGAGCTCCACTGAAGGCCCCAGTGCCACCGTCCACATGCGTCCCCCCCCCCCCACACACACACAAACACAAACACAAGCACAAACACAAACACAAACACAAACACAAACACAAACACAAACACAAACACAAACACAAACACAAACACAACCACAACCACAACCACAAACACAAACACAAACACAAACACAAACACAAACACAAACACAACACACAAACACAAACACAAACACAAACACAAACACAAACACAAACACAAACACAACACAACAAACACAACACAACAAACACAACACACAAACACAAACACAAACACAAACACAAACACAAACACAAACACAAACACAAACACAAACACAAACACAAACACAATCACAAACACAAACACAAACACAAACACAAACACAAACACAAACACAAACACAAACACAAACACAAACACAAACACAAACACAAACACAAACACAAACACAACCACAACCACAAACACAAACACAAACACAAACACAAACACAAACACAACCACAACCAAACACAAACACAAACACAAACACAAACACAAACACAAACACAAACACAAACACAAACACAAACACAAACACAAACACAAACACAAACACAAACAAAAACACAAACACAAACACAAACACAAACACAAACACAACACACAAACACAAACACAAACACAAACACAAACACAAACACAAACACAAACACAAACACAAACACAAACACAAACACAAACACAAACACAAACACAAAACACAAACACAAACACAAAACACAAACACAAACACAAACACAAACACAAACACAAACACAAACACAAACACAAACACAAACACAAACACAAACACAAACACAAACCACAAACACAAACACAAACACAAAACACACAACACAAAAACACAAACCACAAACACAATGAAGAACACAACCACAACCACAACCACAACCACACCCACAAACCACAACCACAACTCACAACCACAACACAACCTACAACACAACCACAACCACAAACACACAACACAAACACAAACACAAACACAAACACAAACACAAACACAACAAACACAAACACAAACACAAACACAAACACAAACACAAACACAAACACAAACACAACACAAACACAACAACCACAACCACAAACACAAACACAAACACAAACACAAACACAAACACAAACACAAACACAAACACAAGCACAAACACAAACACAAACACAAACACAACCACAACCACAAACAACAAACACAACACACAAACACAAACACAAACACAAACACAACACACAAACACAAACACAAACACAAACACAAACACAAACACAAACACAAACACAAACACAAACACAAACACAAACACAAACACAAACACAGACACAAACACAAACACAAACACAAACACAAACACAAACACAAACACGAACACGAACACAAACACAAACACAAACACAAACACAAACACAAACACAAACACAAACACAAACACAAACACAAACACAACCACAACCACAACCACAACCACAACCACAAACACAAACACAAACACAAACACAAACACAAACACAAACACAAACACAACCACAACCACAACCACAACCACAATCACAGCCACAGCCACAGCCACAACCACAACCACAACCACAAACACAAACACAAACACAAACACAACACAAACACAAACACAAACACAAACACAAACACGACCACAACAAACACAAACACAAACACAAACACGATCACGAACACAAACACAAACACAAACACAAACACAAACACAAACACACACACAAACACAAACACAAACACAAACACAAACACAAACACAAACACACACAAACACAAACACAAACACAAACACACACACACGCACACACACACACATTTCGGCACACTTCTCACACGTTTCGTGGCCCCGTAGGGAGCTCCACCGAAGGCCCCAGTGCCACCGTCCACATGCGTCCTCCACACCCACTTCGGCACACCCCTCACACGCTTCGCCACCCCATAGTGAACTCCACCGAAGGCTCCAGTGCCACCGCCCGCATGCGTCCCCCACACCCATTTCGACACCCCTCACACGCTTCGTGGCCCCATAGGGAGCTCCACAGAAGGCACCGTTGCCACCGTCCGCATGCGTCCACCGCACCCTTTTCGGCACACCCCTCGCAGGGTTCGTGGCCCCATATGAAGCGCCACCGAAGAAGGCATTCACAATTGCGGTACGCACAACTGCATATGGTTGGTTCCTTCGCCAGGCTAATTTTTTGCGCCCAGGATCTCGAGAGTTAGTTCTGCTCCTTCGGAGCGCTTTTCGGTGTCCCCAAGTGGTGCTCCCGCCGCAGCGCTGGTTTTGTTTTAGGATCGACGACGTGAGCCCGTCGTCCACAATGGCGCTCTCGCCCCATCGCGGGCCACACTTCTGGATCCGAGGCCTCCATTGTCGCTGTTGCCTTGCTCCCTTCACCTCCTCCGCCTTCCACTGGTCCTCCTGCTCTTCCCGCTCCTCCTCCGACTTCTGCCCCTGGTGCTGTGGTTAATCCTCGTACTCCCATTATCATCCTCTCCTTGCTCATCCTCTTTGTCATCCGCCACCTCCTCCTCCTCCTCCTTCTCCTCCTTCTCCTCCCACTTCTCAAATTCACACGGCCTCCCTTGCTGTGATAGTGCACGACACACTAAGGTTCTTTTGGGGTTCCAAGCCCGCTATGACACCCGTCTGCGGATATAGAAAAACAGCGCGATGGGAAGGGATGGGTGGGATGGGTAGGATGTCAGCTATGGCGCGAGCGCGCCGAGCTTACCCCTCTCCCCCTTCTTCCCTCTGCGGCGCTCTGGCTCGAGACTGTCAAGTTCACCCTCTGGGCCAGCACGCGCGTTAGCCCCCCCCCCTTTCCAACCCATCACGTAACGCTCCCCCATCAGTGTTCCCCCAGCACTGCCGCAGAGCGTCCGGCACAGCAGCCTTTTGGTGCCAGACCCACACGGCGGGGGGTGGCGTTACGTTGTGCCCGCCCGTCCCCTTTCTCCTCCCCCCCCCATAACGCCCGTTATCGCCGCGAGTAAAAATGCTCTCCTCCCTCCTCGGCTCCTTTCCTCCCTCCCCTTCCCTCGCCTCCCCTCCCGCC